GACTGACTGACTGACTGACTGACTGACTGACTGACTGACTGACTGACTGACTGACTAGCCTATAAGCCATATCAAAGTACAGGTTCATACACATATTGCCAATAAAATTCTAAACAAACCATTTAAGATGAGAGTAGGATAGCTATTAAGTCAGTCACACAGTCGGTCCTTAAGTGAATCTGGCTTCCCCATTGACTCTGCTGGTCTGTTCTGACCAAGGCTTCCTGAGACAGTCACAGTCACACGCTGTTCAGTGGTGGCATTCTACCGGTTTGGCCTGGTTCTTGGTAGCGCCAAGGAGCAGCGGAGACCAAACTGGTTCTCTCTCCTGGGCTCCCATACTAATTTTTATGTCCTGCTCTGGAAATGCAGCTGCTTTGCACAGCACATCAGTTTACCGCGTGGCCGCTGCCGAAGCGACAGCAAGATTGCAGGAGGTGACTCAAAGCGCCTCCGTGCCTGTGCGCAAAGTGTGTGCGCGTGCACGCAAAGCACACCCACCAGTTCGCGCCCACTGAAACGGTGGTAAAAATATTTGAAAGGCACCACTGATGCTGTTCCCAAACCCACCCACCCTTTTTTAAAAAAAATTTCAACGGCTGTGAATTATATGTATTCCCAGTCCGTACTGAGTCCCGGATCAACGACCGCTGGCTGCATCCCGCCGGGTCATGTGATCCCCTTTTGCGACCATCTGTTGAGCAGAGTCAACGGGGAAACCAGATTCACTGAACAAGCGTATGACTGGCGTATCCACTGCAGTGATTGCAGCTGTCTCGCTTAAGCAGCCGACGTTTGGGCCTCAATTTTATTTTTATTTTTTATTTTTTTTGTCAATTGCTTGCAAGATAATAGGTATAAGTAAAAATATAGTTAAGAATACATGGATACATATAAGAAAAATAAAAAATATAGATAAAAGAAACAATAGGACAGGGATGGTAGGCACGTTGGTGCACCCCTACAGACCTCTTAGGAAAGGGGTGAGGTCAATAGTAGAAAGTCTAAGGTTAAAGTTTTGGGGGTTTGGGGATTGTAAGTCACAAGTGCAGAACTATCCCTAGTATTGTCTAAATTACTTCCAGTGCATCGCCAAAAACCAATCTCGATAGGCCTTGGAACTGTCCTAACTTGACCCACCTTTATAGAATCCAGGGGACTCGGATAATGACCTTCAAGTTCTCAAGTCTTCTGACTTAGGATCGCTAAGAATCTGACAACAGCATCTGCCTTGGGCCATCTCAAGAGGAGAAGTCCAAGGAAAGGACGATTGTGTAAGCTCTAAACTCAGCATGAGATGTTCAAAAACAACATTCTTCCTCGCCCAAGAAACCCGAGAGCATTGGCCCTGCTCCTTCCACCCCGTGGTCAACCTCTCCGCCCACATAGCTTGCAGGTCACGTTTTGGCCATGAAGAAGAATTAGCGCGGTCCTTGGGTACCCAAAATAGCTCTAAAATCTTCTCTTGGCCAAAGGGACTGTGATTGGCAGGCCTTTAATGTCAGGGTATCAGTAGCATTTCGGGGTTCACACAGGAATAGCACTTAGATTTAGGCAGGTGGTCCTGAGATTACGAGGAGTGGCACATAGAGGTGGAGTTCTCGCTTCACAATCAGGAGGCTGTGAGTTCGATCCTAGGTAGAGGCAGATATTTCTGGGCACACTGAGAATATATCTGTTGAACAAAACTCCGCATTGAAAACAGGAAGGGCATCCGGCCATTAAAACACTCCGCTAGCTCCATTCAGTTGCTCAGATTCCGCCCCGCAAGGAATTATGACGTCGTTAAAAGACGATGGCCGTCAACATCGGGGATGAGACTGTAATTATTTTCAGCTACAGATTGTCCTTATGACCACAGCTGAGCCCAGAATTTCCATCGCTAAGCAAAATGATTGTCAAGTTAGTTTTGCTCCATTTTATGACCTTCCTTTCCCCCTGTCATGAAGTGAATCCCTTCCATTGTTAACCGTAATAAAGCTAATCGGTGAATCCTGCTTCCCCCTTGACTTGGCTTAGCCGAAGGTCGTAATTGGAGATCACATGACCCTGGGGATCTTGAAACAGACATAAAGACCATGCCAGTTGCCAAGCAATCTGAATTTTGGTTACGTGACCACAGTGGTAAGTGTGAAAAACGGTCCTAGGCGGGGTGGGATTTGACCGGGTCGGGTGAAGCGCGAGCTCACCGAGCTATTACACCGGTTGAATCACACCACTGGTCCTTAGTTTACTTTTTTCAGGGCGGTCGTAACTGTTCTGACCAAGCCTTCCTGAGACCGTAATTAAGCACATGCTTAGTCCAAACAACTCTCGTTTTATTTCAACGCTGGGAATTATGTTCATTCCGTAATGAATCCCCAAACAGTCCCTCGAGATAAGCACCCACCTTTCTCTCCTTTGAATTGCTGCCAACAACTAAAATGCCAAATGAACTGAAAAAAAAAAAGCCAAATAAGGTACAAAGTCCATACAGAGCTTCAAGGTTTAATCTGAACAGAGTGAACGACTTTGCTTCCTGCAAAAGGTTTCCCTACCTTTGCGCCTCCTTTATACCTTATGGGAGGGGCAATCACCTCCAAGCCTTATTCCCGATTTGCCCCTTTTGTCTCAGCTGCTTTTGCCTTCTAGCAGCTCTGTGCATATGCGCACTGGGAACAGGCTCCCCTGGATCCTCTTCCTCACTGCTGCCAGACTCTAAAGGCTCCGGAGTCAGCACCCCACTCCCAGGTGGTCCTGTCCCCATCTATGCATCGGATGCAGGACCCTCATCCAAGTTCTTTCCAGACTCCTGGACTGGTCCCTGTTCTTCCCCGCTGTCCGATTCCACTGCCGTCTGCACAGGCTACCGGCGAACCACAACAGTAACTCAAAATGGCCACTAGACGAACTGTTGTGAATTGAGGCCTACGTGTCACCGAGAAGCCTGAAGCCAAGAGAATTGCTAGGACGGCAATCTTAAGCCAAGAGAGTAGGTAATCTTAAATATTTTCCCCTTTGTTTTTTCCCCCTCCCTGACAGGACCTGAAGAAATACGGCGCAACCACAGTTGTGAGAGTGTGCGAAGTGACTTATGACAAGACACCCCTGGAAAAGGATGGCATTAAAGTGATGGTGAGTCTCTTGCTTTGAAATTCTATTTTTATTTTTATCTCTTCTGAAACCACCGAGAAGGTTCAAGCATCACGAATGGAAGAAATGTATCGTTACAGGGAGTCCTCAACTTACAACAGTTTGCTTAGTGACTGTTCGAAGTTCCGACGGCATTGAAAAAAAGGGGCATTTTTCGTACTTACAGCCATTGCAGCCTCCCCATGGTCAGGTGATCAAAATTTAGGTGCTTGACCACTAGTTTATGACGATTACAGTATCCCAGGGTCACGTGGTCTCCTTTAGCGAACGTCAGACAAGCGAAGTCAACCGGCAGGGGAGCCATGTTCACTTAAAGACAGTGTGGCTAATTTTAACAACTTGCAGGGATTCACCTAACCAGTGTCGTGAAAAGCATTTTAAAATGGGGGCAAAACTCATTTAATGTCTCACTTAGCAGCATAAATTTCTGGCCTCCCTTGCAGTCGTACATCAAAGACTATCTGTACTTCTAAGCACCGGTTGTGGGGTTTTTATTTTAGATGCCAACTTTGCCGCCCGATACATTTCCTCACATGTACATAGCACAGGTTCATTTAGTGACTTCCAACAGTGTTGAAAAAAATGGTTTGTGACTGTTTTTCACACTTAATGACCGTTGCAGCATCCCCCGTGGTCACGTGATTGAAAATTCAGATGCTTTGGCAACCGGTTCATAGTTCTGACGGTTGCATTATCCCCGGGACTATACGATTCCTTTTTTAAAACTGTCTGACAAGCAAAGTCAATGGGGAATCCAGATTCACTTAATGACCATGTGACTAATTATAACGACGGCAGTGTTTCCCTTAACAGACATGACCAAAAAAGTCGTGAAACAGGGCAAAATCCACTTAACGAATATCTCCCTTAAATTTGGGGCTCTGTTGGGTTGCAAGTCAAGGACTTGAGACGCCTCACATCGGTTCCGCAAAGTTGTGTGTTCACATGACCCTTCAGCCGTCATAAATGTGAACCAGTTGCCAAGCATCTAAATTTTGACCCATGTGACCGTGGGGGATGCTGTGGTGGTCGTAAGTGTGAAAAACGGTCACAAGTCATATTTTTCAGTGCCGTTGTAACTTGGAATGGGCACTAAACGAGCTGCTGTAAGGCGAGGACTCCCTGGATTGTATCCTGGGAAAGCGATAATCTGGAATTTCTCGTTTCCTGATAAAAGAGAAATCGAAATAAAGATAGTATCATGCCTCAGTCAGAGTCTGAATCCGAGGAGGAAGACGTTCGAACCACTGACGGGGAGCGGGAGTGTGGCTGCGTTGGCTGTGGAGGAAACAGGAAGTTCAAAGTCTGGCTGGGCAGAGCAGGAGAGAGGTAGAACAAGGAAGAGGGAGTTCAGAGGAAGACCCAGGCCTAAGGTATGCAGGGAGGAACGGAGAACAGAGCAACGTGGGTTGCTTGACTTACGGGGTAGGAAAAGGCCCTGATACCCTTCATTAGCCACATCTGGGAAGAGAGTTTAAAAGAGATGCAAGCTGAGTGCGGAGTCTGCTGGGAACAAATATGAATTTATCTTACGATGACTGTGGTTATCTGCGTTGCTGGCATCCTCCCAACTGGGTTGATTTACTGCCGTTGCTTCACATCTGGAATTCCTTTCTTGCCCTGCCAGATTAATTATATCATCTTGCCTTGATTGGACTTACAGTTTTTGTTGACAGTGTTTTGGACTTGATTCTCTGCAGCCACAGTCCGTTCCTGGGAGGTTTTTTCTTCAGGCCAAAAGGTAACCAGGATATTGGGGACGCAAAGTTGGAGCTACTAAAGGGACTCCTACTGATTATCTGACTGTGTTGCCTTTGTACAATGCCCTCGGTCATCGCAGGTACCAAGTGATCCTTGAGTTACAACTGTGAGGGTGCCTGCCCGTAACAGTCATAAATTTGACCTTGGGATTTAATAATTTTAACGTCCCATTTTTTTTTCCTGCCGTCTTTAAACGAACCACTGCAGTCATTAAGAGAATTATCTGGCGGTTAAATGAATCAGTGGTTTGCCACGGGTTTCCCCAAAATTGAAAATAAATGTCAATTTTCAGCAAAGTCACGGTAAAACATAGTTATAGGAGTATACGAGGCTACAAAATACACAACATTGCAGCCATTTGCTGAGATCTACAAGTATGGCATCCAAGTCATAAGTCCCCGTTTTCACATCCATCGTGACTTTGATTTGCTGTGTGGTAAGGATGACCAGTATTCTTACTGGCCTTTGAAAAAATGCAAATTGGTAGGGAAATGGAAGAGAGAGACTTACGAGCCATGCATTATTTTTATTTTTTTATTTTTTTTGGGGGGGGGTTGTTATCTGAATTGTAAAGAACCCCAACTGTACATTCCCTTCGAGGCTTAAAAATTGAAGGCTGTAATTCAGTGGGTTTATTTGACCCCAGACTCTGATCCCACGTACAACATAGAACATCATTGGGGCTGGAAGGGACCTTGGAGGTCTTCTAGTCCAACCCCCTGCTCAAAAAGGAGACCCTATAGCATTTCAATTAAGTGCCTGTCCAGTCTCTTCTTAAAAGCCTCCAGTGATGGAGTAGCCACAACTTCTGGAGGCCAGCAGTTCCACTGGTTAATTGTTCTCACTGTCAAGAAATTTCTCCTTAGTTCTAGGTTGCTTCTCTCCTTGATTAGTTTCCATCCATTGCTTCTTCTCCTGCCCTCAGGTGCTTTGGAGAATAGCTTGACTCCCTCTTCTTTAGGGCAACCCCTGAATACTGGTATCATGTCACCCCTAATCCTCACCTTCCTTAAACTAGACATACCCAATTTCTGCAACCTCCCTTCCTTTTAGCCTCCAATTTGAAACTCTGCCTGTTTTTTTTTCTGTGAGTCTTTCTTTCTTTCTTTCTTTCTTTCTTTCTTTCTTTCTTTCTTTCTTTCTTTCTTTTTTTCCTCCCTCCCTCCCGGTGCTTTGAAGAATAGCTTGACTCCCTTTTCTTTGGGGCAGCCCCTCAAATATTGGAAGACCGCTATCCTGTCCCCCCTAGTCCTTCTTTTCGTTAAACTAGACATCCCCAATTCCAGTAACCTTTCTTCCTTTCTTTTAGCCTCCGGCCCTCTAATCCTCTTTATTGCTCTTCTCTGCACTCTTTCCGGACTGCAGCTAATCCCGGCAGTTTATTTCGTGACTGTTCAAAGTTACAAGAGCACCGAAAAACGTGATTTAAAGGCCGTTTTCCACAGTTAACAAACCTTTGCAGCCATCCCCAAGGTCCTGCAATCAAAATTCTGGAAAACGAGAAAACTCTCCGTCGCTCGAGGCAAAACACAGCAGATCTTCTTCCTCTGTTGAGTCATCCAAGTTCGGTCTCCAAGCTAAGCAGTCCATGAGCAAAGTGGAAATTTGCCAGGGAAGCCTGCCTCTCTCCTAATCAGGAGGAATTTCCCTCTGGAAAGAGATGTAAAAGGGAAATCCTCAGGAAGATGCCTAATTTAACATACCACATCTGTTGGGAGGCATAAACCAGTTGAAAGAGCTTTGGGAGAGAGGGAGGAGAGAAAGAAAGAAAAAGAAAGAGGAAGGAAGGAAGGAAGAAAGAGAGAGAGAGAGAGAGAAAGAAAGAAAGAAAGAAAGAAAGAAAGAAAGAAAGAAAGAAAGAAAGAAAGAAAGAAAGAAAGAAAGAAAGGAAGGAAGAAAGGGAAGGAAGGAAAGAAAGAGAGAAAGAAAGAGGAAGGAAGGGAAGGAAGGAAAGGGAAGGGAGGAAGGGAAGAAAGATAGATAGATAGATAGATAGATAGATAGATAGATAGATAGATAGATAGATAGATAGATAGATAGATAGATCGATCTCTGCCCCTTCTCACACTTGATGATGTTACCTAGTTAGGTTATGAAACGTCTGCAAGAAAACCACCAAGCTTACAGGCAGGCCACCCCACAGTTCTCCTCCTCCTCCTTTCCACAAACCCCATTCCCTTCTAGCGCTGATGATGTTATCTAGTTGGGTCATGAAACATCTGCAAGAAAACTACCAAGCTCAAAAAGCACCAAAGACCCCACAGTTCAACCCTGAAGCCACAAATATTTCTTTCTATTGACAGAAGAGAAGTAAAGATTTTGTCCCCAAAGTGCAAATTAAGCAAGATGCAAGGCACCCTTTTCTGACCAGCCTTTTAAAAAAAAAAAGACTTCTCCAGATCTCCAGATCTGGAAAAGATTATTTTGCTGCAGGAGAAGGAAATTCCTCACACTCACACACACCCCAAAAATGTCCCAGCTTGCATAATCCTAAATTTTCATTCTCTTGGGCAACAGCTCAAAATCTTGGCAGGAAAAAAATAATAATTATATTATTTCTTGGTCACTTAGAAAACTTAGCTCCCTACAGCGAGACTATTACAATAGGATATTAGTTCCTCTACCAGTTGTCATTGGGAAACATCAAAGTCTCAATCCCAACAATTAAAATTCTGCCTCTGGAATGAACATCTGTATTTTTCAGGCTAGCTTGAGCAATTCCCATTTTTATTTTTCTCCAACTCAGTGCTGTGTTAGAAGGGAATTACGTAAGCAGACTTGAGATTCTGCCTTTCTATCATCAGGGTAACACTCCAAAAACCCAAGAGAAAGGGACTGGGCATTGGGTGCAAACTATGAAATTGCAAACATAAAAGGAGAATATTTGCAGCTCAGGAGTGAAATAAGGGGGACCTTGGTACTCTCCGAGCTTGTTTACTTTCTTGCGGACGTTTCATGACCCAAACGAGGTAACATCCTCAATGCTACTAGCAATGGTTTGGGTCATGAAATGCCTTCAAGAAAGCAACCAAGCTCAGAGAGCACCAAGGACCCCTCAAATTGAAAATAAATAAACCCTCCCCAAAAGGCCAGGGAATACAGAGAAGAAAAATCCAGGAAATTTCTCCCCACTACTAAGAAGTAGGCCAGGAGTGGTATGGTGGCCTAGAGGTGGAGCGCTCGCCTCACAATGAAGAGGCTGTGAATTCGATCCTAGGTAGAGGCAGATGTTTCTCTCTCTGGACACAATGATAATATATCTGCTGAACAAAACTCCACACCAGCGATAGGAAGGGCATCTGGCCAAGAAACACTCTGCTAGCTCCATTTCTGTTGCCCAGAGACCACCCAGTAAGGAATTATGGGAAAAGAAGAGGAAGAAGGAGGAGAAGGAGGAAGACGAAGAAGAGGAAGAAAAGCAAAAACGAAGGAGGAGAAAAAGGAAGAAAAGAAAAAGGGGAGGAGGAGAAAGGAAGAAAAGGAAGAAGAAGAAGAAGAAGAACAAGAACTACTACTACTACTACTACTACTACTACTGGGAGGTGGACCCACATAGCTAAGAATTTTGATCACGTGACCGTGGGGGTGGTGCAATGGTCGTAAATGAAAAACAGTCGTAAGTCACTTTTTTTTTCAGTACTATTGTAAATTCAAACAGTCACTGAACTAATGGTTGTGTCAGGATTCCAGCAATCGCCGTAATTAAATCATGATTCTGAAGCCAAGCTTCATAAAAACTTCAAAAGATTCATTAGAGGTGACATACTGGCACTGCCCTGTATGAAGCCAAATGTCAGTTGGCGCTCCATTCAAAATTCAAGAAAGACAGACTCCATTGTTATAGAGAAAAGAAACATTTACTGGAAATCAAGTGGATTCTAGACCTGATGATCAAAAGGATTCTAGACCTGATGATTTACACGTGAAAAACACATATACAAAGTTATGGCAACATTCCCACCCACCATAGTTCAAACGAGGATGTGTATAATGTCACATGGGGCATCTTCAGATGGAGATGCAGACATCTGGCTGTTGACCTTGGCCTAGTTTGATAAAGAGCTGTAGTTGCGCAGAAAGCAAGCAAATAAGCATAATCAATAACGTTTTCCCCAAGTTATACAGTTCATTCTCTAAAACCTCCAGCACTCTTCCCACCCCACCAAGCCCGATTAATTCACCCTCCCCCTGTTACTATGGCAGCCAAAGAGAAAGCGAAAGAAAGGAGTCTTGAAGGCTGACACCAACTCTGGCCTACGTCATTTACAGTCCCCTGTGGCCCTGTTTCCTCCCTGCCCCCTGGGTGTCTCATAAACCAGATTCTTCAACTGAGCACCTTCACAGGCTGGGTGTCATCAATCACATTCTCCAATTAAATATATTTGCGGGCAAAAACTCTGGTATTTTAATTTCAATCTTTTAAAGATTAAAGAGTTGGAATGTACTTCCGCTTTCAACTGCTCTTCCAGATTTCCTTCCTCTCTCCCACCTTTTTTTTTTTTATAGCAACTACTAAAACAGGCACGGGGATGTTTTATGAGTTGATAGGTTGTATTGTAACACGAGGACTACCTGGACTCCCATTTTGAGGACTTATTTGAAATATTCCCTTAATCCTCTTCCTATTTGGTTGAAAATGTCCCACTTGGTTTCTGGTCTTCTACTCCAGGATTGGCCCTTTGATGATGGAGCTCCACCACCCAATAAAATTGTGGATGACTGGCTCAACTTGCTGAAGACCAAATTCTGTGAAGACCCCGGGTGCTGCGTCGCTGTCCATTGTGTAGCTGGCCTGGGACGGTGAGTGTCATCCTCCGTGACGGGCACGGAGAGAGTGAAAACAATTTTTGATCAGTGTTTCTCTTTGCACAAAACTACACAATTATCCATGGCCAAGAGAATTACTACCTTGTTCTACCTTCACAAAATCACGAAGCAGACTCTTTGTCCCAACAAAATCCCTTTTTATTAGGCTAATGTGAATTCCTATCATTCACATCTAGCAAAGCCCCGGCAAACAGTCTTTCAAGGGTGAGCTGCAACCACAGACATTATCAGGCTTGGAGAGCTGCCAGGCTGATATCTTCCAAGCGCAACGCTGTACAAGAAAATACTTGGCAAGGAGTCTCTGAGAGTCATGAACAAATCTTCACACTAATTAAATGAATTAATTGTCTCCTGCAAACACCATTCCCCTTTCACTCCTCTTTATTCCCTATAGGAGTGGCCATTCACCGTCTATCTGTGCCTTTACTCCCAAGTCGATCCTTGATCCTTAACTGTACCCTTCTTCTGACAGCTCTGCGCATGTGCACATTGGGAATAGACTCCAGCTGTTCTTCTGCCCCACTGAACTCGGACTCCGAAGGCAGCTGATAACTGTCAGAAGGCCCTGGCCCCATCTCTGCCTCCGACGCAGAGCCCTAGTCAGAGCCTTCCCCAGACTCCAGGACTGGGCTATGTTCCTCCCCAACCTCTTCACTGTCCGATTGGGGGGCCACAACATACCATCCCTGGTTTAAGATGTATGTGTTAGTGAAACATTTGTTGATCGGCACTTGGTCTAGATACAACTTAGCAACTTTAAGACGGGTTGGACTTCCAACTCCCATCTTAAAGTTGCCAAGTTTGAAAAAAAAAAAAAAAACAGGTCTAGAAGCTCAGTTTTGTGCACAACAAGAACATTATGTGGAATTTTTTCAGCCAGAAGTGTTTTTTTCACTTCAACCTTGGCGTCCTGAATTATTCTTCAGCTATTTTGCTTTTTTTCAAAATTGGACTAGAGAAAATGGTACCGCGTTGTGGGCCTGACCTCACTTCTGCCTTTTCCGGTCTAGGGCTCCAGTTCTGGTCGCGCTAGCCCTGATTGAGAGCGGGATGAAGTACGAAGACGCCATCCAGTTCATTCGACAGTAAGTGCTCTTCTAGAAACCTCCGTGCCACCTGTTCTGATGGGGATGAACGACCCCAGGTTGGTGGGCAAACCACTTGGCACATCCCAAAGGAATTCGACAGGGGCCTGTCCTCCTGGGCTGTACCACTTCGGGCCATAGATGGGGAGGTGCTTAAAATCCCACCTTCCTCCAACCCTTCACAAAATTGCAATCCATGCATCATCTTAAGTACTGGAAAGGGCTTAGAGTCTAAATCTCCAGGCAGAGATATTTCTCTCCTGAAAGTAGGCTAAGCATTCCTGCCTGCCTGCAGTCCAAATTTTCTTTGAAGTGTCGTCAAAATTTGGCATTACAGTAAACGGTTTGCGGAACCATACCTGTGGCAGCGTACAGGTAGACTTCAACATGAGCTAGAGATAGGAATGCCTGGGGGGGGGAACCCTGGAAAAATTGGGAGAGGGAAACAAGTTTTTTTTTTCCCAAAGCCGTTTGGAGAAAAACGGGGGGGGGGGGGAAAGACTGGGTTTTTTGCCATTTTTTCCTGATTTTTTTTTTCCCAAGCCTGCTCTACTTATGGCTGGTTGCTGAGTCACTAAGTTCTAAGTTACAATGGATCCCCCCCCCAAAAGGTACTTGCGACCTGGATTCAAAGTTCCAACCCAAAAGAAGACACGAGTGGATCACTTTTATACTCATACCAAGAAATCCACATGGAGGCGTCCATGTTGTTGCCTGGAACCAGTTTGCTCTAGTGGTTAAGTCACCAGGCTAGAAACCGGGAGATGGTGAGTTCTAGACCCCGGCATAGGATGAAAGCCAGCTGGGTGGTTTGGGTGACCTTGGGCTTCTTGGCAAGATGGGTGGAAAACAAGTCTAATAAATCATCAGGAGACAGTGAGTTCTAGTGCCGCAGTAGGCATGAAGGTCAGCTGGGTGACTAAAACTCACCGCCTCCTGGTGATCAGCCCAAAGTCACCCAGGCGGCTTTCATGCCAAAGGTGGAACTAGAACTCCCCATCTTCTGGTCGTTGCCCCAAAGTCACCCAACTGGTTTTCCTGCCTAAGGCGGGACTAGAACTCACCATTGCCTGGTGATTGTCCCAAAGTCACCCAGCTAATTTTCATGCCCAAGGCGGGACTAG